ACAATATGTCTTGCGCGATATAATTCGTTTGAGTGGTCCATGTTCATGTTGTTCGCGTCTGCATGGCTTTATTGCTATCAAGAACTGTATCTAGACGGACCGGGGTCCATGGCCTTTTAGACCTTGGTCGCCTCATTTTCGGCCCCACTAAACACTTTTCACATGATTGGCTGCTTGACGTGGAATTGGACCTCAGGCCCTCAATAATCCATCTTCCGTATCACCAACACTCGATACCAGCCATGCAACCCACTTGCCCCATACCGCAGCCCGACTTCCTCGATGGGGCGTACCCAAGAAGATTACGCCAACAGTACATTCGGCGATGGGTAGATATCCCGAGCCATGCCTAGAGGCGGTGATAATAGCCTTCTCTAGAAGTCAACACAGCTAAAGAACGCCCCAGTTTCGGCTGATATCCACATACCTGCTCGATGACGTTACCCCAAAGCTGTGACCGATGAAGATTATTGGCACCGCTGCCCTCAAATCAAACAAATCAAATCCGGACCTATATTTGTTTGGTTGAAGAGTTTTCGAGCGATATTTGTTTGTTTGAAATATTTGATCAAATATATATCAAATGCTGGACAGGTTGACTACATCACAAACACGCCGTCGCTCACTGCCGATCGAGAAAGTGTGCTGTACGGCCATGATAGCATAACGATTAGGCGACGTCCAAAGGTCAAACCCTAGATGGATTTTGGTGAGCGCATGGCTGAGCTCTTGTCCGACAGCGCTCTTCTTAGCATGGTAGACAGCATTCAGATGTCGGCTCATTGATTTTCGGCTCCATGGCACCTGACCAGCGACTTGCGGATCGAGTTGCCAGACGAATTGCTCAAAGTACGGATTCGTGAAGACAGAGAAGGGTAAATCGGCGTTGACGATGAGGCCCACGCTGAGCTCCCGCACGATGTTGATCCTGGCTTTTGGCACAGCGCTGTATTGTAGACGCGGTCGTTCGGCCCGATCAGATTCATCGGTCGATGGGTCGCTGTCTGCGATGGGGCTGCCCTTAAAAACTCTATGTGTCTTTGTCTGTCAGATTTCGTGTCGTCGCGTACAAGAATAGCGTTGGGCATACTTGCGAAGGTGATCAGCAGCGGATGTCGTGGCACTCGCTGCAAAGAACACTGCCTGTCCCTTTACGTCGCAAAGCCGACAAACCCAGTGCGCATTCAGCGGGCTGTCATTGGCATCAAGCTCAACAACAAATAGCCCATGGAGTTTGATCCAGCTCTTCCTGCCCTTGGAGCCTTTCCGCGATAAAGATTCCTCCAAGACATATCGCTTGTTCCCGCCATACGGCCAGCGGCAGGTCTCTAACTGTCGCATTATCCGGGACTGTTGCGACGGAGCCTGATTCAAATTGGCTCGATAAGTTTCTTGGGATTTTCAAAAGCGAAAACGCAGACGGCACTAGCGAGGTGTCCATTTCATGGCACTAGCATCTGTCGTGTCAAAAGTGATGATTTGGATCAGTAAACATGCGCCTCCGGAACGCGTTCCCGAAGACGCGATGCGATATGGTAAATATTAAAGAGATACTTAGATTTGCCAGGCTATTGGCGGTAATTATATGTACCCTTTTGATTTGATTTGATTTGGTTTGACTATTACGTCCGTTTGCGCCCTAGTGTAGGCTTTTGGACGTGCTATCGAGCCTTCTACGGATCCATGTACAGTCGTACCCTCT